TTTTTTCCCCCCCCCCCCCCCCCCCCCCCCCCCCGCCGCCCATCCCCACCCCAGTTCACAGTGGAGGACTAAGGAGATTCAGAGCCGGATCCCCCGGGTACAAGAAACACCTTCTGAAGATTTTGCTCTCCTTCCTCCCTCCCTCTTGCCAACTTCCAAGGCCTGAAGCTACCCACACTCCTGCAAACACACCCAAACCCACTCCTCTTCCACACTTCCCGTTTTTTCCCACATCAGAGCTCACCTGTGAGACATCTGGGTTCTGTCCAAAGTCTGAGAACCATAAAGCAGGGAGATGCCATTTACCCCTAAACTTCACACACACAAGTGACTATGAAACAGGCACCTAGCTCTTCTCCCTTAGTTTTCACTCCTGGCCTCTACCTTTTCCATCAACCAAGAGCAAACGTGTTAGCACACTCCCACCTGCAGCACACGAAAATGGGCTCTGTCCAACATCCCTTGCCCAGGTATGGGGGTGTTGGGGGAGTGGTCCCTGAGGATCAGCAAAGGGTTAATGCAGAGGGCAAGAGGACAGAACAGTTTGGCCTGAGCTCTGACTGGGGAGCCAAAGAGAGGCTGTAGGCTGGCACAGGTCTAGAATGATCATTTTTAGTTTTTGTCTCACATGATTTTTCTAGGGGCAGTAGAACAGATACCCCTCAGAGAAGTCTCTACTGACGACAGACATATTCTTGCTTACTGGGTTCTCCTTAAAGGAGGCCCCACCAAGTTGGAAAGCAGTTAAAAATGAAAGTATTAAAGGAACTGAACAGGGAGTAGGAAGAGCTGGTGCAGGAAGAGCTGGGCCCTGCGCGAATGCCGGCGGGCCACTGGTAAAGTGCTCCCTGACACGCCGTGCAACCACCGCTGCTCCAGCGGAGGAGCCGGGGAGGCAACAGGAACACGGACACGGATATGGTGTGGTATTGCTTTGCTCGTTGCTCAGGCTGATGGTCAAGTGGAGCCAGGGGTAGCAGCACCAGAAGTAACCAGGCAGCTTCAGAAAATTCCATGAGACCAGGAGACACAGAGGCACTCGCCTTCTCAGCCAGCTGACCCCACAGCCCAAGGTAATGTCGAAGAAGCCCGCCCCCACAACATGTTCACCGTTCTTAAATTTCACAAGCACTACTTTGGAGCACTGGAGGTTAGGCCTCAAGAAATGAGGATGGGCTGGGGCAGAAGGAGCAGGCCTGCTCTGCCCAGCCAAAAAACTTGCTTAGAAAAAGACAAATCAAATCATGGCTTCGCAAAAGAGGAGGATGGCAGCTGCTGCTGACTTGGAGCTCCAAGGAGGTGATGGAGGGAGGGAGGAAGGGAAGGGTGCTTCTGTCACGGAGGGCCCCCGAGCACCCATACCTAGAAGCGAACAGCAGCACCCCCCCAAAGGGGAACCAATACCCCTGATTACTTTGTTCCCCCAAAGTACCATTCTGATGGAGAGAAGCCTCCCTCAGGGGAGCACTCTCGCTGCAGCGACTGAGCTCAGAACCGGGCGTCCAGCGGGTGGCAGGGGCGTGAGCATCCATCCTCTCGGCAGGCCTGAGCTTCAGCCAGGCCGCCAAGCACTCATATGTAATTCAGCGGATGGGACCTGGGTTCTTCCCTTGCCCCTTCACCTTAAGTGGGATAGGGAGAAAATAAAACCTAAACCACAGTGACCCCTAAAAGGAGTCTCTGCTTCAGTGGCTCCTGGAACTGGCAGGGTCCAGCTGATTCAGCTCCGACTGGTCCAGAAGTTCAAAGTCATCCCCCTCAGCATCAGTATCCAGGTCTGAACTGGGGGCCCGGAGGAAGCCTCTTGTTGTTCTCCGGGGAGGCAGGCCAGAAGGGCCTGGCTGGGAGGCCCCTGACAGGGCCAGATGGATCATGCCCTGGGAGACCAGGCTGGCGAGGTTGCTGGTGAGGTGGGACCCTGCAGGCAGGGCACTGAGCAGGAGCTCCGGCAGCACAGCCTCCTCCTGGCTGGCAGGCGGGTTCTGGAGCTCCTCAGCCCCTGGTGGGGAACGGTACATCAAGCTAGGCATCCCAATGCTGGTATCGTCCTCGTCATCCAGGCCAGCGGGATCCACATTAATGGAAGGGAAGTCTGGAAGGTCTCTGGCAAAGGATTCTTCTGGATCACTGTGACCATCTAGGTCTGGGAGAACAGAGGGGTGTCTGAGACATGGCAACAGTCTGGCACTCCTGCGCCCTAGCCCCACAAAGTCAGCACCATGCAACCAGATTTTTTTACCTGGAATTTCTCAGGGTAAAGCAAAACCTGGAGCACTGGTTGGCGTTTCCCCTCCACTTATATACTGCTGTGATCTCTGCTGGCCAAAGAATTCCCTCCCCTTCCTCCCTTATGCTCTACAGGAGCCTAGAACGGAGACTACTGAGGATTTTAAGGAGAGCAGCAGCACAATCCCAGCTGCAGCCATACCCCCCAACCCCCATCAAAGCTCCTCTGCCACCTGTTCCACACCTCTGAAAATAGGGGAGGAGGGGGCAGTATCCTCTCTGCCCAGGGAAGCTGAGAAGCGACAGTCAGAGCCGTTACGAATTCACATCCATGGTCCCCCTCACCTTCAGAGCCTTCTGTTAGAGGTGTCTGGCCCCGTGAAAGATTGAACGTGCCATTGTCTGTACAAGAGACCTCAGCATCTGAGTGCTCAGAGTCTGTGATGGCCAATTCCCTGGCAACAGTAGAATCATCAAGCTTAGGAGAGAAAAGATCAACAAGCCTGAAGAGCGGATGCCATTAGGAACAGGTGCAGTTCCCCAGTTATAGCTCTACTAATTAGCTGGCCCTAAAGGCTAGCCTACGGCCAGCACTGCCATCAGATACGACTGGGGACTTCAGTCAGTATCGTGATCCTACTAGGCTGCTCCCCCAAGGAAAATACCCTTACTTATCGATCTCGAGCAGGAAGGAAAGCAGTCGGGGAAGCCAACCAGCCACTTACTCTAAAGCGAGTAGCTGATGCAGAGATTACTTTTCTTGGGGGCCGGGAAGATACACTGCCCAACAAAAGGTGAGCTGGGCTGTTTAAAAGACGATCACACTAGTCCCAGAAGTCCTGCCATGATGGCAGGGGTTAAAAGGAGACATGGAAGAGGGTGTGCTGGTCACCAGGCTCAAACTGAGATCTACACATACAGTCCCAGTATAACATGAGCTGCTTTCCTCACTGTTCGTGGGGCAAGGGGAGGGTGGGGCCCTGGAGCACCGTAAGTTTGAAAGCCTAGTTACAGCCTAAATGTGAGGCGTCATATGGTTAAAGGGAGCTAAAAGAAAACTAGCCGGTGGTGTACTTCCCACATCCAAGATACCTGAGGACAGAA